GAATCGCTTACTCCCAAGGGGCCTGTCTGGTACGTGGATGGGGCGAAGTGTAAGGGGGGAGAGGCCGGAGCCGGAATCTGGTGCGGGGGACCACGGGTGGAGAAATCCTACACCCTGGGCCAGGACGCTTCCGTGTTCCAGGCAGAGGTGTACGCAATCCTGTTATGCGCTATGCATATAACCAAAAGAGATTGCACTGGGCAGCATATCTATATCTGCAGTGACAGCTATGCTGCCTTAACGGCTCTTTCGCAAGTGGCTACCTGTTCAAAACTCGTGGACCACTGCAGAAGGGTACTAAAACAAGCGGCATGCCGCAACAAACTGAAGCTGCTAAAGGTACCAAGTCACTGCGGTATACGCGGCAACACCGAAGCTGACAGGCTGGCCCGTATTGGCGCCAGCGGCGGAGGTGACAGGGGCCCAGTGGAGATAAACGCTCCCGGGGAACTTGTAAAGGCGCTGGGGGACAAGTGGCTGCACAAAAGATTCACCAGCTACTGGGCGGAGACCTCGGGGATGAGGCACACCAGAGCGTTCATCAGGAAACCCACAACTCAAGTGAGTAGGGACCTGATCGGACTGGATAAAAGCAGGCTAAGAGTGGCCGTGGGCACCGTCACAGGGCACTGGCTAACTCGACGCCATATGAAGATGCTGGGACGCGGAGAGGAATCCGCGTGCCGGTGGTGTGGTGAGGAGGAAGAGACGCCTCTCCACATGATAAGGGAATGCTCGGGGCTAAGGGAACCCAGGCAGCGCCTGTTAGGGAACCTTGAGACCGACGCACCCATCCTTGAGACGGTCGGGACGGACAGGCTTCTGCAATTTTGCTACGAGGCCGGGCTGTACCAACCCACCTAAGACCGCCTTTACCACAAGCTTGGACCCAGTACAATGGCCCCGTGGCTAAGTGCAGGGGAGGCGGGGCAGATTAATGGGGAAAATTAGATTTTTTGAATGCAATTATCAAAGTTTTGTAATTATTACGATTTATCGGCGATAAAAAAATGTTTTTTTTTTCCATTTTCATCATTTGTTCATGAACATTTTAGAATTCTTTTATAAAAGAAAAAAATGTGAATGCGTTAAGTAAATCAATGCATGAGTCAGACAGTTTTTAGAGCTATGCTAAATGTTTTTCTATTTATGCAATATTTTTTTATCAGTATTAAATGTTATTGCTTATATATATTTAAATAACATAGCTTATTTTGTTGAAACAAATAGTTGTGTAGTATTTATTGAGAAAAAAAATTGAACAACATACCTAGATGAGTGGAGTACTACTGATTGTTGAGAAATATTTTTATTAACTCATCCAGCTGAAAGAATAAAATCTGATTATTTCCTTTAATTTCAACAATCCAATGCTATTTTTAATGTCAATAGTACTTCATGTTTTTTTCATGATCGATTGCAAAAAAACTAATAAATATAGTTATACGTTAGATAGGTCGATTAAAATTTTAATTGAAGAAGTTGTAACAATTTTCAACTAAAAATTGTTACAACAATTCATAAGATAATTTTTTTAATTAGTAATCGTATATGACCTTATAAGGTCTTGTTGACAATTTGTTGAATTTTTTGTGTTTCGAAATAATAAATTAAATATATGAAGGATTACAAATTTACAAACTAAAATTAATTAATATCTTTATCTGTTTTACATTAGATGACAGTTAGTATAGTTAATAAAATAAACAATTATATTAGACAGGTAAAAACAATAAAAGCATGAAATGAGCTATGTCTCGACTATAGTCTATCGACGTAAAATGTTATAATGAAACTGATAAATAATTTAGCAGTGTATTTTTCGGATTGTGTAATGTTTATCTCTAGAAATTAAATGAGAATCTAAAAATAATGATAAAAAAATATTGCTTTGTCATTATACCAGAAATAAAGTATTTTAAATTAACTGCATACATGCGATATATCGACACGCGAGTCATTTAGAAACTCAATGATTGCATGATAGAATAATAACTAACATCTTCTGAGTTATCATTTCTTTTGTCTCAAGCGCAATGATAAGAATATTTTTCATTCATCTCACGTGCTTGTCCCACTTTAACACATCGATCAATATATTATATTAGTAATCTTTAAATGAAAAGACTATAGAAATCTGTTCTTTTGACTTACTGTGTTCGTACTTTTCAATTAATTGAACTATTCGAGGTTACTTATTGTAGCCAATCAGTTTAATGTACCAGTTATTTAAATGCCTCGGCAGTAAATTTATGTGACATTTGTACACTGTGATAAAAGTGAAAGAAAATCGGTTTTAAATATTTACATTAATTACTTTTTAAATTGAAAAAAAATTTATTTTTTATTTAAATGAGACTTCTTTATAAACATATATAAATCTGTTAACTCCAATTAGAATTGAGTAAATAAAATATTGTAATAACTGAACTGAAAAATATGTCTTTTTTTATCACCACCGGATTTTTTCTGAAATATGTGAATAAAATAAATATTTTTTTTTGTTTTGATTATGATAAAAACATTTGAATAATATTATATAAATATATTTTTATTTTATAAATTATTGACTTCAAGAAGAGAATAGTAAAATTTATTGAACTTGTACGTGCAAAAAAATTTTTAAATTCATTATTTTTTAATAAAATAAAATGAAAATATTGTTATTATTACACCTTAAGTGTTAACTCAAAAGGAATTAATATGAAAATAAAACTAAAATGAAAAAAAAGTAGAGGTGTAATATATAAAAGCTTGAATATACAAGTTTCGTTTATATATTATATATATATATATATATAATATTTTATATATACATTCATAGTTTGTTACAAGGCACAGATAGCTTACACACGTATTTTTTCTCACTTATTAAAACCATTCTCACATCTCACTCGTGCAATATTGCTTTTGATCATTCATTCGAGAGACTACAAGATTTTCCACTTCACGTATTTTCTTCCAATCTGCTTTTAATATTTTTTTCCTTATTAATATTATTATCCACGGAAAAATGGTGATGCTTACGATGAGTAGATGACTACGGAGGTTGACATTTTCAATAGCTGATAGTTGATAAATTTTTATAAACACTGTTGAATTTACAACCAATAATTTTGAATGCTGATCAGTACAATAGGAATTCAATCAATTGATTTAGAATGCATGGGTTTGAATTGTTACGACAGAATTATCTAATTCGAAACGCCTATAGACGGATGCCAACGTCATACGTGTTATGATTATCAACAAATACTTTCTCATGTGTATAATAATGATTCGATTGATAAAATCAATCATTTAAATATTCAGTAATTAAAAGTTCTTTCGACTTTTTGTTGATTAGAAACGAAAATTATTAAATTATTGCCATTCTTATTTTATTCACTACTAAATTTTTTTGATAATAAAAATTAATTTTCTTGTTGATTGAAACATTTCAATAAATTTGAAAATTAATTGATATTAATGACATATATTTTTCTTTTATTGATAAATTTATTATTCTTGACGAATATCAATGCTTTGAATTGTTTTAAAAATTTTATGCTGTCATTTTTATATATTTCTGTGATATTTTATATATTTCTGCGAAGAATAAATTTTAATAAAGGGAATTCGAAAGCTTTCGAAACGTGCCAATGCTCGACTTGTTTCAATCGAATTTTTTCCACACCATTACGTGACAATGGAAATATTTTTTTTATGCTTTGAATAATTTTTTTTCTGCGAACATTCTGTTTTTGTTGTATTATTCCTTATCAATTGAAGTTAAATGAATTGTCGTTAGCATGAAAAAAAAAATTTTTTGAATTGAAAAACAGTTGACGGACTGTTCATAGAAAAGATGACTATTAGTTATCTAATTTATTGAACACTTCAATGAGCTATTCAGTTTGGCAGAGTAATTAGGAAGCTTTACTTCTTCATGGATGAAGTATTGTTAAAATTTGTATTACCTTTGTTTTTTAAACATATTATTTATTCATTACATAATTAATCAATATTTAGTTATTCACAAACTGAATTGTTCGAACTTTAATAGATTTGCTATACTGCAGGGCATTAAATGAAGTATCTGTATGGTAATTTAAAACCACGGTGAAACCAAACTAATAGTCAAAACCACGAATTCGATTTATCGCAATTAATTAGCAAGGTCGCATGTTATTCAGTGATTGCATCAATCTCATTAAATGACACATCATACTGGTAGAAACAGAGTTGAAACGTATATGTAACGGATTTGTGTAATGATATTTGATGACGTTCAGACAATTATCGAAATGTTCAATATGTTAACATAAAGTAAATTTCGAATTAAAAGCATTCAAGTATATTATATCTGATAATGAAATATTTTGTGAAATTTATATTAAATGTTGTTGGATTTCTTATTGATTAAATTTTGTTTTCATGATAATTCCAAATATCCGTGGTTATTAATTACTCATATTCATCATTTTTAGTTCATTCGTTTTTGTTTGAAAATTTTTAATACTATAATGAGCTTAACATCCTAAGCTTCGTAACATTTCATGTTAATCTTTATTCTTCATGTAACTCTAAAGTATTAATAATTATATGTATATATATATATATATATATATGTATATATCAAATCTACATTTTAGTGATCAACTCATAAAGTTATTCAAGCTATTACCTACTTTTGTGCGTATACAAAACACTGAGCAAAGAAAATTATAAATTTCTTTTATTAGTTTTTCGTCGATATTCTTCAACACAGAGGTAGTTTGAGTATCTTCGATTTGTAGAAATAATAATTATCAATGATCACATTGAAAGAATAATTTAACGATAATAAATAATTTATTCTTAAAAAGCTATCATGACTTCTCCGTGATTTAATTATTTAGTTAATTAATTAACTAATAATATCAATTACTTATATAATTTTCCACAGTAATTTAAAATTCGAATTCTACATGAGAAACATATTTTTATTTAATAATATAATTTAATTAATAATTATATAAACTCTGCATAAATTACAATAATATTATTTTTTTGTCTTGCCCCCGCTCATCTTCTCATCATTATTTAATTTTTTCAAATACCATTTTTTCACAATAATCATCAAACAATTTGCTTAACAATAAAGATTCTCTAAATGAGTATTGTATATATCTCTGTCATTTAATTCGTCATGGCATATGTTATAACAGTACTGGTATTTATAGACAACTTTCTCGTGAATTATTGCTTGTTTTTTGAAATTAATGCCTGTTAATAAAATTATTATCATTTATATGATCACGTATTTTTCACAGTCAAGGAAAAAAACAAACAGTTTAGTCAGGTTGATAAAGCTAATAAATGAGAAAGAGAAATATAGGTAGAGTAGGAGAGTAAATAGATAAGTCTATTTGTTTACAAATGCATGAAATTAAAAATACTTGTAAAATATTTTTAAAAATGAAAGGAGAAAAATGTTAACTTTTTACTCTCCATTTTTCTGCGCAAGATAATTGATCACAGTTACAGCAATTTACATTTTACACATTCATTTTCTCTTCTTTGTTTTATAATAATCACCTAATTCAACCCTATGTATTTATATTTACTTATCTTAATACTTGATTTTTATTACAATTTTTCATGTGTACTCTTTTAATATTTCCATTTAGTATCAGTTAAATATTATTTTACAGTGTAAATGGTATTGCGTTGGATCACTTTCTTAAATATACTAATGCGCGTTAACTATACACATTATTCTTTTACCAATATTTATTTTTTACTTTTACTCTTATCTCATATTCTGTATCTACATTATCTATATTAAAACATTAACAGCCGTACGCACGGCAGTACAATCCTTATTATAATTTAATATTTTTCTCCGTCACATTAAAGTTAAAAATCGGACCTATTGCCATGCGTCTTGATATGAACTAATTTCATGTTATTTAATTACGATTTATCAATCGAAATCTATGACTCTACGGGTAAAAAACCTACTGAATTTTTAACAGGATAAATTAACGCGCTTATCTTTCATTCATACACTTTTTTTTATCATGAATAAAATTCTCTTTTGTTTCAATGAATGTTTTAAGAATTAATTAATGAAAAAGAAAAGACTAGCGCGTAATCTTGCTTCAATTAGAGGTCATCGTGTACAACATCCAATTCAATAAATTAATTTGTGAGCATCTCCAGCGTAGTTTTCTTCTTCTCCTTCTGATACTTGTATTTTTTAGTTGTCCAAATGACGCTCAAAATCACCTGAGAATTTCGAGGTATACAATAACGATTGTCGTAATGAATATCAGGTACGACGCTCGCTGATTTATGCTGTGATTGGTCTCCATACATTGGCCTAGAATAATTGATTATTTCATTTGTAATGTTACTCTCGAGACATGATATATCTCATAGTAGTATTGATTATCTCCAATAACTTACCAATGCTTGTAGCATTGAAAGCCAACATTGGTGGTGGTGGTGGAATACTTCTCTGACACGCAACGGGACTGGCAGTTAGACTTACGACACCACCACTTTCGCGATACATGAAACATAGTCTTCGACTGTTTCTGAAAGCTTGGGGTCCATTGTTACCATTAGACCATCCAGTTCTCCGCACCAGTGGAGTGGCAATCACGAATTGCGTCCCTTCCGCATCAAACCACCTTCCGTGGCATGAATAGGCTGTAGGAAACAACAAAGCCACTATTAACTCTGTTTATACTATTAACAAAAGAATAATATGGTTTATTTATGAAATAAGGACTGTATGGTGTTCCAGGAAAGAATTGATTGAAAAAATTTCTTTCCTTCAACTGAGGATAGAAATAACATATAAATTATTAGTGATATAAAAAAAAGTTGAATAAATCGAATGTCAATTTCTTTAGATGAAAAATTAAATTTTCCGTTTTTTTACTGTATTCCATAAATGTCACATTATTCACTTAATGTCTTTAGGCAGTCTCTCGTAAAAACTATTTCCACCTCCGACGTTTGATATTGCACATTTATAGAAGCAATCAAGAATAAATCAGTAAAATTATTTGAGAAAATAAAACTTTTACATTTTTATTATATAAATATGCCAGTTTTTTTGAAATAAATGATAAACTGTTTTTTTATTGATTACTTAATTATTGGAGCATTAAATAATTTTTTAGCTTCAATTAATATCACTGAAATTTTGAAACCCGTTTCAAACGATGCATCTGTTTCAAATCGTATCAAATGCATCATCAAATGTATTGCAGGATTAAATAATGGATTGAAATAAATCAAGATTATTTTTTGTTAGAGAGCCAAAGGATTAAACTCACCTGTTACAGCTTCAGTGTCGTCTTCACAATCACTCTGAAATTCCATCCGATCAGCAGTAGAACAGCCTACTGTAAGAGTTGTAACTGCAGGGCTACACTGCGGCTCATCTTCTTCCCTTTTTTGTCTTTTCTCAGAGTTTTCATCCGATTCCTCTGCTTCTTCTACTTCGAGATTCCTCTTTATTCTCAGAAGATCACGATAAGAGAGATATACAGCTTTAGAATTAAACGATCGCTTGTGCGGTTTTTCATCGACTTCATAGTCTCCAAAATAGTCTTCATGAGCCAGAAGGACTCTTGAAGCAGCTGGATCTTGAAGTTCTGGCTCCCAGAATTGACGTGGTGCTGCAAGTACATCAGTATCAACCTGAAAGTCTTCTAATCTTGGACTTCGTTGAACTCGATACGAAGCTTCTTCAGCAACTTCAACTCTTGACTTTCTTCGAGTTCTTCTTGAACCTTTGGATTCTGTATGATACCGACTTGATCGATCGGATCTAGCTTTTCTTCCTAGTCTTTCATGGATCAAATACTCATTGTTGGCACGTCTTTTCTCTCCTTCAAAGTCTAATTTCCGTGCCCACCGATCTTCTGAGTGTCTGACTCGTTCAGTGTCTCGTATTTCTTCATTAACTGACTCTGGTAAATTTCTTCGGTTCTCTCGAATGTTCCTTTGATTACGATTAACACCAGTCACTGTGAATTTTCCGAGATAAGGACATTGCTTGGGCTCCGGCGAACTCGCTATAAAAAAAAATTCATTACTGATTTAATGATAGTTTTTTTAATTATTATTGTTATGTAATAAAGTTGTAAATTATTAATCATTAAGATTAAACGAATATTCCAATGATGATACAATTTATTTCAAAAGTAAATACACAGTATCGACACTTTCATCTTTACTGAGTTGATACTAAAAACCGAACGATATTGTTAAATAATAAAATCCTTGTTTTCCGAATAATTTATCAAAGGAATTATTAAAAAATTATTATTAAAAATTCTGAGATACTCAATTTTAAAATATATGTATCTATGTATCTATATAACCAGCTTCGAGCTTTCTTTTAAAAGCACGTAACGTTTATTATCGACATTTTTATCTTCAAAGAATTATTAATGGCTAGTAGCTTGAATTTTTTATGTAATAATAAAACCATAGTCTAAATAACTCATTATTATTTATTAAAACCTACGAGTTAATTTGCTTTTTAATAGTTATATTTTTGTGTAAAACATGATACAATTAAAAAAAATTCAATTATAAACTTATGTTATATCCAAAATATCCAACTGCGGTACTACTATTTACGATACTATATTATATAACTGATGTATTTTCGTTTTTCCACACGTAGTAGGTTACTCATAAAATGCCTCAAATATCTTTTACTGTTTTTTTATGAATAAGAATATTTTCCCTTCAGTTTTTTCTTATAAAAATCATCATAAATAACGAAATTTCAGCATATTAATACACTGAGAACACTTTTATTCATTATTAATCCACAAAGATTTAAAAATAAAAAATAAACACAAATGTTTTTGTTCAAGCAAGAAACGTAATTATAATTAAAATAATACAGTTGGTTATTTCACATCTGATTATAAGCTCAAGGCGGAGGTTCATTAAATAGCAAGACCTATGTTTAATGAAGTTGAAAAAATTTATTAGTACGGCTGATCAACTTATATTATGCCTCGGAATTGTGAATGAAGTCAGTGAGAAGAGAAACACGTGCGTAGAATTCAATGAAGCCAAAGTTAAATATATTGTGGTCGCAATAGAGGCTCGTTAGATTGGGGAAAAAGAAGCAAAAATATAGAATGGGAAAGCCGATAATGAGAAGCACCCAGATCGTCCCTATAGTATAGGAACACAATGCTAACTCTAACGAGACAAATCTGACGACGCACCCTCGACTACTTGGACTCAAACTCCCTTTTCCCACTCTCTTCGAGCTTTCAACTTGCAATTCTACATCTCGCTTTTTACTTTCTGTCTACTAACTTTGTCTTTTATATTTTTTTCTTATGCTGCTGCTGTTTGAGCTTTTGGTACTTGTTTTTTTTGTCATGTTGATTTTACATGACATTGTGAAAATCTCATTATTTTTATGGCTAATTAACTAGCTGATATACTGACTGACGTATAAAGGTGATTGACAAGATACTTTTGTAATGGGGGCTTGATGTTTCCAAATGATTAGGTGATCCCTATAACATGACATCATAGTTCAACGATGTGGAAAGACCCTCAGATAATAAAAATATATATCGAATTAGTCGTGTACTCTAACGATAGATACATGCTTAAAATATGATTATGAGAGTAAGTTTATTGAATAATACATTTTTTTGAGAATGAAGTTTAGAAAAAAATGAAAATAGTGAAAAGTTAATTTAATTTAACTTACTTTTTGCTATTTTTTATTTAGATAATTCAATTACAAGTTATTTTAATTCTATAAATCATATTTAAAGTGAATTATTTGATATTGTATTTTTTCATCAATAGTTTATTTTTTAGATGAGAATTTTTTTAATCTAATAATGATGATTGATATTAAATGACATTGGATGTCCATCAATATTCATCTTTCCAAGTAGAAAAGTCAGTATTTGTTCTGACATCCTGAAATGATAATTTTTTCACTCAAATAAATTTTTCTTCTCATTATTATGATTATTCTCTCCAATTCTATTTCCAAGTCTTTACTCGAAATTTGATTAGTTAGAAATAACGATCGATTGTAGTTGAGTTATATTAAAGGAAGCTCTGAAACGGAAATGATTTTTCGACATTGCCTGCGGAATTTTGCACCCCCCGTTATATATATATATATATATATATATATATATATCCTATAACTACGGGAAACGTGCCGATCGAAAAGTTATTCACATTATACTTAGCAAAAATTCTCCCACCTTTGAAATCTTCCTCAACACTGACAATGACATTTGAATTCCATGTCTTTACTAAAAGCCAACGTTTTCTTTCCAGTATTATGTACTCAAAGCTTTCTCTGTTGCACAAGAGGGTGGCATAGAGATAAAGAGAAAGACGACAAAAAAGTTTAAGAATTTCTCCCACTTTTCAATGAATGGTCTTTCGATAGACGTAAGCCTTAAAGCAGAGAACTCCCAAAGGCGTTGCGGTCGTCTCGGGCACTTGAGACTCGAGTTCGAGACTCCTAAGCTTCCACGGAACGACTACCGTCTACATGAGTAGTCTGTTGGGCGTCAGGTGACCCGTATCAAGTTCAAAGGCTACATCCAACGAATTCAAAGCTTTCCGCGCTCCACATGTCTCCTTTCTCGATAACATTGAAAGCCTGAGATCTTCGGTGCGTTTTCTTACTGAGACACACGATACCGAATATGATGTTACTTTTTTGCCTCTCCTTTTCTTATCATAATGCAACACTGTATGCATATGAAGGGCTTAATTAATCTTTTACATTTATTCAAACAACTCTATTTGATAATGATAACAAAAATATTTTGCTTTGAACCTTCTCTCCATTTTCACATTTATAAATATATCTTTTCTATATGCTTTAAGGCTTCTGTTATTTATTTTACTTTACAAAATTTTCTGCTGAAATTTTACTCAACAATAATAAATAATAATTGTGGACAAAATTAGAAAAAATATCAATATTTTACTAATAAAAATAATACGAATTCTTTTTCTCTTCTTTAAGCTGATAATTTATTCCTTTAATCTTTGAACATGACGGGGAGAAAAGAGTGTATAAGATACGGTATAAAGAAAGCTTTTTTTGGAATATTTAAAATAGCGGTATTTCAGTAGATGATGTACAGTCAATTTTAGGCTTGATGAAAAAATAAATTTTTTTTTAATTGAAATAATAAAATTATCACGAAGATACATCTATAAAAACTAGAGCTTTCACATCAACGTTTGTTATGCTAATATTTTGGTTAAACTTAAAAGAAACGATACCGTATTAAGAACTCAATTATAATATGAAAATATCAAATATTTAACTCACTGAAAAAAATATTTACAATGATTCAAGATAAAATGTCAAAATTTTTTTATACTAGGGCAGATAAAATGGGTATAACTCCACCCAAACATTTAACTTGAGTACTAAACTTTAATGAAAATTATTTTCAAGACCCAGTTCCTTAGTTCTTCAGTGAGTGTAGCCTCACCCTTTAATTCAAAAGGAGGGTATCTGAAAAAGAATTCGACAGAACAATCGTGACGGCACTGGCTCGCCCTGATTGATTAGCTTTCCCATTTTTTTTGACTTTTATTTTCTCGGTTTACAGCTCCGTCACGTTCTTACTCAGAGATATTTTTTTCGATTACTCACTCGTAACTAATTCCGTCGACTCTTTATAAAGTTTGAAAACGTACTCGTCACGTTGGTAATTAAAAAAAAAAGTAATTACTTTTTTTGCTCGCGCAAGTTTATATTTATTTCTATTGAAGATTTCAGCTTGACTGATTATACTTCGAGTCTCATCCCTTAATACACTAATTGACCAGCCAAGAGTTCTTAATTGTTTTCATGCCGTTAATGATGAGTATATTACATTCGTGCAACATGTGCGAAGGTTTGGCCAGTTAGCAGAAGCTATCAAACATAAATCCCATTAAACGAGCATTTTCTCTCTTTCTCTCTCTCTCGACCTCTCTCATTCCCGCTGTTTCGCGTGCTTCGATCGCTAGCCGAGTATGGTTCTAAATCACTTTACTGCTCGACTGGTATAGTAAATATATCTCCAAAGCTTGTTCTTTTTCTTTTTTTGGGTTATGTAAAGTAATATACGACACGAAGATGGGACGTATTCTTTTCCACAAACTCGATTTGCATATCGAGTTTAAAATCATTTAAATCTACTTGATATGAATGGTAAGGAATAATTTTATATGAAAAAGTGTAAACTTGAGTAAAAATTAAGCGATATTATGAAGTTCTGAAAACTCGTAGGGTTTTTTGAAGATCTATATCTGTGAAATGCATACTCTCGTGACGAGACATGAAGGGTGGGTTGACTAGAAGTTAAGGTAGCGGCGGCGCAATATTTAAAAAGAGGGAGGTATAAGAGGATGGAGGTACTCACGTGGATGTTTTTAGCAAAGCTAGTATATTTGGTCGCTTATATAATCAATATACGAGAGTGAGAAACTATGAGGAAGAGAAAGAGCTGAAGATAAATTGTTCGGAGAGGGATGCAGCTTTGGGCCAAGTGAAAAATAGTTAAGGTAGTTCGATCGAAATTAATGTTTTCTTAGGATTTTTTTTTACTGCATTAGAATTAAAGATTATTAGAAAATAATAAGTTTATTTTAATAAAAAAAATCGATTCACCGTTTAGAACTCGAGTTATTTGAAATCAAAGTTCACTCTTCTCTCCATTTAAACCAATGATAATTGACTACAAGATTAGGTTTTTTAACTTTCATTCAAAAACGGTTCTTTCAATTTTCGTAAAAAAATTATATAATGTAAATACATTTGTAACAAATATTCTGTCAAAAAAAAATTAAGTTTTATCGTATCGTTCTTAAAAGAATAAGTTATTATTAATAATTTTAATCTAAACACTCATATAAAATAGGCATTAACCTTCTTTTTTGAATCTTTTTTTGTTTTTTGGAATAATAGAAGACAAATTAATGAAGATGCAGAACGCTAGTGTGTATACTTCATAAAAAAAATTAATTTTATTTCAAAGGGCCCTGGGTCTTTTTTTTG